TGAGTTCTTTGTCCCAGTTTCCACTTCTTGTCATCTTCCCTTCAAGATGTAAGTTGTAAGTAACTAGGAAAATTACATATTTAAGACCCTTCAGTTTGCCCAGTGTGATTAAGCATTGTTTGTCAAAAGATAACAGGTACAAACTAGATCATCCTCTGTTTTTACTTAAATATGCCAATACAGCATTAGCTGTATTTTATTACTTAATGCACTAAGGGGCCTTAACCTTTGAAAAGCTTGTCAGGCAATGCCTATGAACTCAGGCTAACAGGCAACCTAACCTGAAAAGAAACCCAAGTACATGGGAAAATAACTGTTCTGAGAGCTTTGGCATGGTTCTCGTTGCTAGGGAAACCACTTCTTTGTCTGTACGTGTTTAGAATGGCTGCCTCATTAGGGGCACTGAGTCTGAGAATCACTTCACACTACAGAAGAAAACAGAAATCGAAAAAATGGTGTGTTCACTAACTATTAAGAAAAATACCGAGAAGTGAATAGAAGAGGTCCCATATGCATATATGTAAACACAGACGTGCACACAAATGCCCACAAACACAATAGATTACATTTTCATTTTGTTGAGGTTGCTAAGACGGTCTGAGCCACTTCATTCCTGCATGCAGTTTTAGCTAGGTGAAGGAATAAATAATTCTCTCTCTTCTCCCTGTTGTATTTCAGTCTCTTTTTTAAAGCAATGCACAAAGAATTGAGATGTGAATTTCATGTGTTATAAAATAATCCAGTTAGTTGGAAATATTGAGACACACTTATTTATTAAGGTCATGCGGTATGCTTGTCCAACTGCCTGAGAGTGCTGCGGCAGTGTTAAAGCAGATTTTATCGATGGATGCAAAGCGTAACATGTTTTGGAAAACCAGTGTGGATACATTTATTGCCGTCATCAAAACAGGGGAAATGGTAAAAATAAAGCAGTAAAAACTGCAAACATTACACAATGACAAAAGAGTAACTTAATGTTAACTGCTAAATTTTAATTGAGATATGAAAACAACCACCATAGAAGTGTATGGATTGCAGCAGAGCTAGATGCAGTTTCAAGGCATTACTCATTGGTAATATAGCTGTGAATCCAAGCTCCCTTGGGTGCTCAGCTCCTGCTCTTGGCTGACGGGAAAAATCTTTGCAAACAGGGCAGAGCTGAACCTCAACCTTCTGCAGCTTATAAATATCAACAAAAGGATAAGATTTTGCAGGCATCAACCCCACGCCTCTATGCACTGAGTGGAAAGAAATATATCCAGAATATAAGTACAGCAGTTAATGGACCCCCAATGTCTTCTCTATACATATTCATGAGGAGGGCTAGCAAAATGGCTACCAGTTCCTGTTTTTGAACTCACAACAGATGTAAAAGCAAGTAGTGAGATACATGCACAGCAGTGTATCTGCCCAGGTGGTCTGTGTGATGGGTTTTTTTATTGTCCAAGAGATGTTAGCTCTGATATTAACTAGATTTATAAAAGAGTCTTCTGGAATTCTTCCAATTTCTCAATAGAAACACCCCCCCCTCCCCAAAACAAAACTTTTCCCCTCACTTTTTCACTTTTCTTCAAATCATTGACATGTAAGATAGAGAAAAAAGAGAAATTTAAATTAACATTAATATTTGATGCTGCACTGTTTTATCATGTTGTTTCTTTCACTGAAAAAAAAAGGCAGGAAGTTCTTCACTAATGGTAATATCAGGGAAATCTGGAAAGGAATAAAGGGCTAGAGGTTACAACCAGAAAACAGAGGTAGCATTTGTCATGGCCCATACTGTCATAATGTTTATCCTATATCAAAAAATTCACAGTACCAGTGCAGACACACACTGCCGTTCCAAGTCTTTCTCAGTGGGCATGTCTACATGAAATGCTACTGCGTAGTCATCATTACTGAGCATTTATTTAGTACTTGTATTAGCTGTGCAGAGTTACTGTACAGTAGCACTGGCGAATGTCTTTTAAATGATGTTACAGAACACTAGCTTAATAATACTGTGCAGTGTATTAGCATTGTCTGTGCTGTGATGTGCTACTGCACAGTATTATTCAGTTGCTGCATGGTCTGCATTTCATGTAGATGTGCCCAGTGAGTGGTAGCATGCATTGCTGTTTTCCCTGCCACTATGTGGCAAGTGAGTACACATATGCCTTGTGCTGGTTTAGTCTCTGGAAGTCCCTGAGGATTCTCCAATATGGAAGAAAAAATCCATTAGGTAGTGAGCTAGGTAAGAGTGACTCCTGTTACCCTCTGCTACCACTATTAGCCTGCTGCTACCTACAGAATTGATCTGTCCCAGCTACTTACCTTGCAGGCCACAGTAGGCCACAAGCAAGAGCTCACAACTAAGAAGCTGCAGTCAAGGCACTGCCTGCAGCCTCTGAAAATCAGTTTTGATTTGGTTGTCTGCAACCTATACAACAGCAAAGATGAATATTTCTTCAGGTTAACAGATGGGCACTTGTCAGAGGCCATGCAATAGTGAAATCGTCACAATCTCTGATTCTTCTTCTCTGTCAGTGCTACCTGTGCTGAAAAGGTGGTGGCTGTATGGAAAAGCAAGGTGTCTGAACTGTTGTGGGAATTACTCCAAACCATGGAGCAGAATTTCTGTTCCAGGGAAATGAGTAGTAACTGGTGGGAGCAGATAGTCCTGGTTATTTGGGACAATGAGAAGTAGTGGATGAACTTCTCCATATCTTGGGCAAACTTCATGGAGATCTGTGCCTACGTGGCACCCAGCCTTAAGTGACAACCCACAGGGATGAAGGCTTCTAACTATGAAGAAGCATATTGCCATCATAATATGAAATCTTGCTACTTCTGTTAGCTTTTAGAGCATCACAAATCCATAGCAGCATTTGCTCTAACAGCTGCCTTCACTCTGGCTGATATGATCCTGATAAGGCTGACCCAGTAATGGGAGCAGGACATGTTTGTTGTTGACAGGCACTGACTCAGCCTGAGGGGTGACTGAAGACATAGGCTGACTGGAGGCCTTGGGTGGTCATTGCTTGAATCCAGGTCCTTCTCCATGTCCTTGTCACTGTCCAGACATGGAGGATGGAAAGGCCCTGCATTATCACAGTCCAGGAGAGACAAGGTGTCCTAAAGCATCTCCTGGGTCATCTCCTAGGTTCATGTAGGGGTTGGCTGTGAAAGCACTGTTCAGCCCACCACAGCCACTATAGCATGTTAGTCCTTGCCACTATCCTGTCCACAACATAGGTGGACAAGCTAGTGTTCTTCCTCTATCCCCTGGTGTTTTATGCATAGGACGAACAATGTGAATTAAAAACAAGTGGGAATCTTATCAGGGGATAAGGCACAATGCTGCATTTATTGAAAACATAAGACAAACAAAATAAAAGAAAGAACAACAAAAAGGTGGTGTTTCCTCTTTCATACACTAACACATACATACTCATACACTCATACATACATAGCCATTTATTCACATACATATAAAAGGAGACAGACAGACAGTCCTGCAAATATCAAGATGTTACCAGTCTTTTAGATGCTCGGGTTAGCTTGGTGGCCAGCCAAGTTAACTATGAGAATGAAGCCAGGCCTTATCGTATGCATTCTGATGCTTCTTTGTCTTCTGTGCAGGACAGACCCAAAGCCTCTTTGTTCTTGTCCATCTTTATAGTGATTGTTCCCCATACAAGTCTATGGGTCTCACTGTGTCATGTCCTTTCAATGTGGAAATGATCCTCCTCTTCAGTTACAATGTTATGATTGACAAACTTTTCTGTCTCTGTGGTCTGCAATTTTTTTCATCTGCAATTTCTTCAGCCACTAGAACAAAACACGATCTTGTATTTTGTAATTCTTAACTGCTGATCTTGGACATTGTTATAACCTTTGGCTATTGAATCACAGAAGGCTATTTCTATTCTTTTAGTTTTAGGTGCAAGATAGACTGTCTCAACATATGCATTTCCACACATATTGTTTATTCTTTCATTACCTCTGTCCCAGGGAAAGAAGTAACGAGGGATACTTACCAGCAGCAGGAGATGCAGCACAGCAGGGGTGGAAGGAAGAGCCCACGTGGCTCGTCAGCCACCTCTTTATTCAATTAAGGCCAGCCAGTGACATCAGCCTCAAACGCCGGCTGGTGGAAATAAAGATGGCGGCCAATGCTGTGGAGAAGGGGGGAAGGAGAGCAGCAAGAGAGGGGAGCTGCAGCTGTCTCAGGGAGAGAAGAGGATCCTCCCCATGGCACCCATGGAGCCCAACAAGCCGGGGGCAGACGACGGCAGTGTGGGGTAGAGCACACCGACAGGAGCGCACACAGGACAGTGAGGGAGGAAAGGCACTCTGGACCCAGGGACGGAACCAGAGCTGCACCCGGAGACCGAGCAAACCCCAGGTGGGAGTATTGGGATGACTGAGGTGAGGAGGAAGCCACGCCAGAGGGAGAAGACCCTGGGAGAGCCCTGAGGGGTTTACAATCGGGGCGGGTATCACCGCCGGTCCCAGCTGGGCTGACAGGAGAATGGGAGTGAATCCCAAAGGTGATGGGTGAGCAGTAAAACGTCCCCCAAGCTAGAGCAAGGGGAAGGATAGTAACGGGGCAGGGCGTAGCCATGTCAGGGAGTGGCTTATCATTTTGTGTTTTGTTAACGCGTTTTATTTAGTTGCCCGTGCAAAGGGGAGAGTGGAAAGTGCAAAGTATCCCCAAGGAAAAGGTCCAAGGAGGAGCCTTGGAAGGTTTTTTTGTGTTTCCCCGAGAGAAGGGGTGGAGGCAAAGAAGGTCGACAGGGGTGGGCCCACACTCGCAAACTTGGCCATGGGCAACAAGCATCCAGTGCCAAGCTGTGAGGCACTATCCCACCAGAGGGGATGGGACCGATGGAAGGGCAATGCACTTGAAGAGGTGTGAGGCCCAGGTGTAGGGATGGTGGAACCCCGTGAATGACCACTGGGCTAATCACGGACCACCAAGCACACCCAATGACCAATCCCGTCTACTGAGGAACAACAAGTCGTGGCAGGAGAGAACAGGGAAGGTGACTCGAGGGGGAGAAACCTGCTCAGTCTATGACACGAGTCCATAAGACGCCTTACGTCTACCACCAGAGCAAAGGTCGCACGAGAACAACTATTTGAGGCCCGGCGGCCACAACCTCTTTTCAAACAACCCAGACATACCACAACCTGGGGTTCTGCAGGGCTCGGTCCTTGGGCCCGCACTGTTAAATATCTTCATCAGTGACTTGGACGAGGGGGTAAAAACCACCCTATTCAAATTTGCTGATGACACTAAGATGTGGGGGGATATGGGCACATTAGAAGGAAGGAATAGGCTACAATTGGACCTAGACAGGTTACATGGGTGGGCG